TTGGTGTCGATCATTCGATTTCATCCTGGACACTACAGAAAATGGGCTAAAAGTGTTAAAAACCGGAATTTTCCTTTAAGAAGATCTCCATGAAACAGGAGCTGCGGTGGCTTTGTCACAGAAAACACCGATTGGTTTGATTTTCTTGGGATTATTCTCCTTGATGATGTGTGGGTCTGTTAAACCCTAATAATATCTGCCTGTTGCATGCCAGAAATTATGTTTTCCCAAGTAGTTTATTTAATTATGACAGTTCCTCTATCAGGATATACAGTTATGTGCATTATGTAGTGATTTGGGAATGAATCGAGTTCTCTGTGCTTTTATCTCAAACACTCTGTAGTAGTTATGGTGTAGGTACCAGATCTGCTCGGGGCTCCGCCCCTTCTTCTGACGTCAACATATGGCAACCCCACTCGGACAAACTGTATTGCAACAGTTTCTTAACAGTTCAAATCTGTTTTGGAGTCTCAACATATTATTACCTATATTTGCTATTATTTTTACATTTCATTGATGATCTAAAGTAGCAGAAAGTAAAAAAAAAACAATAATTCTCAGGCTTGTAAGAAATTCCTGCAAAAAGTATTCTTTTTATTAAGATCTGAGGACAGGAAAAACAAATGGAACATCTCAAAGATGACTTTCGTAGAAATTTTAGACAAAACAGTTATTCTGCTTGTAGAAAATGAACGGTTATTGTTGACACGAGGTTAAAAATAGCGTAGCCTAATAGAGGCTAACCTATTAGCTACTGAACGGAGCTAGCTACAGCGCTACCTAGCTCTCTACCTTTACACCATGGTCTGACAGTTACTTTGTTTACCATAAACAGAATTTTTTTTCCAGTTTTTTATTGCTCAGGTAAAACTTCCTCGTTCGTTAGACATGCTAACACTACAGATGCTCCCTAATCTGGACACGGAAGCTACGCAATGTTATTATCGTTGTCTTTTGGTGAACTCAAGCCAAAGCAATCTACACTTGATAGAGTTGAGCAGCTTCTAGCCAATGAAATTAGCTCATTTCATCATGTGACACAATGGCTTCCTCTTATCAGATTGGGTGAAACAACTGAGCCGATCACAGACAGGGGTGCCGTACTAGCTGTGATCGGAGCCATTGTGTACCGTGACCAAATGAGCTAATTTCATTGGCAAGAAGCTGCTCGACTCTATCGAGTGTAGAATGCTTTGGCTTGAGTTCACCAAAAGGTCAACACTTTTGCGGCTGAATTTTTTTCTGGTGAATTTTTACCAGATAAAAATTGAGTGTAAGGAATTCAATATCTAAAAAAATTCAGTGTTAAAAAAAGGCAGATTCCAATGAGACTGTGTTTCTTCCATAAAAAGAGCACTTTTCTGTTGTCGTTCTATAAAAGTATGTTTTAAGATCAATTTGAGGCAAGAACATCACACTTTAAAATGTCACTATATGGACCATTTACTTATTTAGTGCGTAATTTTTCTCTCCTTGCAAAGCATTCCAGGATATATCTTCTTGTCTAGTGACCATGGATAATCACTACTATTCCAGATGCATTTTAGGAAATTTCGAGTCCGCTAAAGTTTTTCATCCACTAGACATTCGGACACTGATCTAAAATGGCGTAACCACTATTTAGTGCCCTATATATGGATTAGGGCGGACGTTCAGATACAGGCACTGAATGAGTTTTCAGGTCAATACTCATCACTGCAGTTTTAGCGCCATTATACCTGGAAGATACAGGTATATCGCCCCCTAGTGGCAAAACATTACCCAGCTTTAAAGTGGAAATGAAAGGATGAACCAAACTTTGGTCCTCCATCAAACTAAAAGTGTTTGTTTTTTTTTGTTGTGAGGAATGGCTGGTATTACCAATGTAATCAACTGGTAGCTAAAGAGCGAACTAACCCACCAAACATGATAAAACCCTTTTTTCTTTTACGTTTAGATTTTTCACGTTTGTAATATAATTATTGATCGTAGCAGGACATCATAGGTTGGTTTGGTTAATCGTTTCATTTCCACTTTCATGAAGAGTCTTCCTGACAGCTGCTAGCTGCTTCAGTTTGGACCCAAACTCACTTTTCATGATAGTTGAAGACATAAATGGTTCCAGCAGCAGCCATGAGCCACACAAACCAGCGCATGTGTGCCGCTAACGGGCCGAGCTCTCGCAGGTTCAGCCTGAGTGAAGACAAGAGCAGAGCAGCGAGCTGAAGTAAGGCTCCATGCTAAACAGCATGGGGGGGGGGCTGAACCTGACACTCACCACGGCGTGTAGGAGGCAGCGATGAAGAAATAGATGACTACTCTGTCACACATGTGGAAGCACTGCTCCACCGACCTGCAACAGGTAAACACTGGTTAGACTGGATCAGCTTTATAGCCACATTTGGCAAATTAGGAATGTACACTGGAAAAACCATCTAGAAATAAATTAAAATATCTTAAATTAAGCGTTTTTACCCTTAATTTGAGCAGGTAAATTATATAGTTTGCCAATGGAAGGAGTATTTTTACACTTAAAATAAGATATTTAGATAATATGTATTTGAAATAAGAATGCAATTCTTCTTTTCTTATTTTAATTGTAAATTGTCTTGTTTCATTGGTCTCCGTTACCTCCTCAATCCAAGAATAAATGCAGTTATTTTAAGAAAAAATGACCTACCTAGAATACGATTTTTTCCAGATTAAGGACAAAAAAAAACGCTCATTACTGACACCAACTTCGACCAATAAAATGTTGCTAACGTTTGGGCTGAAACCAATGATTATTAGCAATAAAATTATCAGAAATTAAAGTAATAAAATTATTAGTTTTTCAATTAATCGATTCATGGGATAGCCAAAAGTTCCTTAAAGAAGATTTTCTGCGAAATTAAACAAAGTGAAACTAAACATGTTCCACTTGAGGAGTTCTGGAAGAGCAGACGTAAAAGTTTTTTATCTTAAATGCAAAATATTGTACATATTTTGTTTTACAATTTTGGTATGATTTTGCATGATTATTTCAATAATCGATTAATTGCAATTAATCCGAATAATTGTTTCAGCTCCATTAGCAGCAAAATGTTGCTAACGTCAGTACAGACCAAATAAATCCATCTTCGCTCCTCAGTCCAGAGGAAAGTGAACAGAATGTGATCTGGAACATTTAATTTGAAAAGAAGTTAAAGAGAAAGAGAAATTTAAAAACCCAAAAAAAAATCAAAAAAGTAATGTCTGAAAAAAACTGCAAAGTTACTCTAAAATGTTTTTTCTTAATTAAAGTTATAGTGGAGGATGCTCTTTTTCCGTGTGGATCATCAACATAAGTGGTCCTGCTAACTGTCAATCATTCTGGTGATATGTTTAAAGGCCGTCCTACGTGTTCATCCCCATTTTCACTTAACTGGGATGAGTCTGAAAAAGTGGAAAAATTGCAAATCTTCTTTTGGAAATTAACCTTTTATGAGCGAGGCTAACAGCAACTTTTAAACAGAGCGTGCACGAGGAGAAATGGGCTCTTGCACGCTTTCACACACGTTTAATAGGCGTTCCCTCTCGGGAGCGCGTGCAGGGTTGTGCAGAAACCCCGTGGAGAGGGCGAGTCTTCAAAAATTCGAGAAAATCCTCCACTATAGCTTCAAGATTTTCAAAAAAAAATTTCAAAAAAGTTTCTTTGATTTCTACAATAATGCAAGAAAATTCACTAACTGCTGAAAGCAAAAGTGAGGACTAGGACCAGGTGAATAAATCGATTTTATGGAGTATTTTAATCTTTTGTTCATGAAGACTTTTTTTTTTACCCAACAATCCACTACTTGGGCGTCTGTAGCTCAGAGGGACATCAGTTCAACACTTTTTTTTGTTAAATGCGAACTTCTAACTGATAAACTTTGTCAGACGACCAGCTGAAAACAGTCTGTTATATTTTCATTCTTTGTTGTTAAACAGGACATTTTGAAAAGCTTCAGGTTTCATTGCCCTTTAAATTGAGGTCACATCTGGGAGCGGATAAGTTAAATCAAAGCATTGCGTTCTTTATTTTTATTCTAAAACTTTGTGGGAAAAAGAAAAGAAAAATTGCTAATATTTTTAAGCCACATGGCTCAGCCATAGCCTGAGGAGCTAATCTGCTGCTGCGACTGAAGCTCAGTCAATATTAAGGCTGCAAAAAACGATTATTTGCAAATCGATTCCTCTGTGGCTTATTTTTTTTGATTAATTAATTAATAATAGGATAGACAAAGGTTCCTTAAAGAAGATTTCCTAACTAAATTAAACTGGGTGAAACTAAAACTTTTCCATTTGAGGAGTTCTTGATAGAGCATACTGACAGACAAAAACCTTTTTTTAATTTTACATTTTTTTATTTCAATGCAAAATCTTTGTATTATAGTAATTATATCCAACTTTACAATATGGATATAATTACTGCACTAAGTGGGTCGCTCTGTCAGCTAAAGGCATGTTTTACCGTCTCTACACGCCAGTTAACGATTAATCAATTACTAAATGAGTTGATGATTATTTCAGTAATCCTTAAATCACAATTAATCTGATTCATTGTTTCAGCCATAGCCGATATCAGTGAAGTTTTCTATTTTCCTACAGTTTAAAGTGAACCAACACCTTTGTAGTGGGAAAAAAGTATTCAGTCTAGTTAAATAAACAGAGATCGATGTATTTCATATCTTTGCAAAGATAGAACAGTTGATCATACGGCCCTTATGGCACAGTTTTTAGCCCCGTTCTGCCTGAGCAGCGTTCGTTCCCCTTTACTAACAACAATGGAAAGTAGTCAGAGTCAAAACAACACTTTGGCACTTAGGTTAACAGTAACATATTATGAATAAACCTCGAGAAAGAATCTGGCTTCTTTTGGGAAGAAGCTATATCTGGTCTACAAACACTCACTCAGAGAATTGTGTGGCCTTGCAGGTGAAACAGACTGAGTAAAAACTTTTATAGTGAGTAAAAGGCATAAATTAATATATGAAATAAGGGAAAAGTAAATTTCCTGATCAAACCTTTAAAACATCTTCTTTTTACTAGGGATGCACGATATAATCGGCCCCCTATCGGACATCGGCCTTAAAACTGAATATCGGACATCGGCCACCCCACCGATATTTAACCCGATATTTGATCAGCTTCTGAGTTTCTAAAGTCTTAAAAAAAATAAAATAATACTACTTCTTCTTCTTCCTCAAAAACTTCTTTTTTACAGACTTTAAAACTTCTAAAGACGAGGGAAAAAATATTGATACATTAAAATATCCCAATATCTTCATATGCTGATATATTGCCATTTAAAAACACCATATCAATCTCTTTTACTAATGAAATATTGCTATATGTCATCGTTATGCTACGAAATCCCCCGAAAATTCACCAAATGTTGCCATATTTTTATATGTTGATATATTGACGCGGTATCGATCTATTTTACTAACAAAATCTCACAAGAATTTGCAAAATATCACGAGAGTTTGTAACAAAACGATGAAATTTCACCAGATCTTGAAAGCAAAATAGATCGATACCGCGTTTTTAAAAATCTATTTGATATCAGCATATGAAAATATATTTGAGTATATTATTTTTCAAAGTGTCAGAAATGGATAACAAAACTGCTATTTTCAATGACTACTTATTTTTGTCCAGCTTTAACATCGGTATCGATATCGGTTATCGGCTACATGAGTTTTAAAATATCGACATATCGGATATCGGCCAAAATCCCAATATCCTGCATCCCTACTTTTTACCAAGTGCCGTCTCCCTCCGTTGCTGAGAACCAGCCCGGGTTGGCAACCATTAGCTGCAGCCAGCCACTCAAATTAAAGTGTGATATTCATATAATTCAACCAAGCGATTCATTGATTGATCATCACAGCCCTTCATTTTAATAACAGACTTATCACCTGTTGTTTAAAAACCAGAGTTTTAACCCTCAAGAGTTTCAAGTTGACCGGTTTTGTGTCACCAAACGAGTGAATCTATAAATATGTGCTAATGAACCGCTGGCTGAGCGTTCTGACCTCATGTGGCTCTTCTTCCAGGTGATGATGTGAAAAACAGTGGAGACGACAAACAGGCCGCACAGACCCAGTCCGTACACCCAGGCCGTGATCCTCTCCCAGTTGTTGTCGGACAGGCAGTGCAGCAGAGTCATGCCGACGAAGGCCGGCACGATGAGGAGCTACAGAGACCAGGAGAAACACATAAATGACGGAAAATTTCCAAATGGGAGTTGATGGGGAGCTTTCAACGAACGCCTTAATGACTCACGGCGTGAGTGTAGCAGTTTGCAGCGTGTTCGTAGACGGTGGGCTGGTAGCGGCAGTTAGCGGAAGGCCGCCTGTTCATGAATCTGAAAATAAAAAAACAAAAATAAAGATGAAGAACAATTTAAAACTGCAGCTTTAAAGCAGCAGATGAAACGCTTTCATCAAACCCTGTTGTTGTCATGGTAACAATGACTGCTTTTCCCCCCTAAGATTCTGAATATATGAAACAGAAATTTCTCCATTGAATTCAAAAGCCAAATCACATAGTTTAGTCAAAGATTTAGGAATTAAAAGCCATGTTACCATGGAAACGCCATCAGGTATTGCACATTTTCAATCATGGTGCAGCACTACATGGGGTCATAAATACAAATCACATAAATAAGCGATGAATATAGAAAATAAAAGGGTCATAAATGTGAAAAAAGAAATAGTTTAAGTAAATGATATCATGTGATCGATTAATTGGAAAATTATATATTACATGCAAAAATGTCAATTTGCATTTGCTGCAAAATTAATTTCATCAGTGCTATTGCTGCAACTAATGATTATTTTGCAAATCAATTAATCTGTTGATTTGATTTCTTGATTAGTAGTGATATAGCCAAAGGTTCCTTAAAGATTGTTTTACAAAATGAAAGCAGGTGAAATTAAGGCTACGTTCACACTGCAGGCCTTGAAGCTCAATTACGATTTTTTATCGTATTTTGTTGCGTTGCCGTTCACTTTTCCAAATATATTCGACTTCTATATGATCTGCTGTGTGAACTGCATTCATACAACCTAAGTGTCCTGCTGGCGCAGTAGAGGACGCAATGACGTCACAAGCAAGCGTGATCTGTGTTTAAGGAAGTAAACATGGATGGTAGGGCTGGATCGCATCTACTGATCTTTTCCAACCTTAAAAACACAATCTTTCCAAGATGGTTAAACATAAATACTGCTCTCTGCATCATCATCCACCATTGTTGTTGTTTTTCTTGCCACTTCTGCTCAGCAAGAAGCAGAAGAGTGATCACTGTCGGGTATCGATGACGTTCAGGTCGGATAAATGCGACCTGGCTGTTCAGAAACAGGTCGCGTTTGAAAAGATCAGATTCGTATCGGATTCAGGACCACATAGCCAAGTGGCCTTGGGCGGATTGTACAAAATTGGATCAGTGTTGTTCAGACTGTCATGAAAAAGATCAGATCCAGGTCGCATATGGGCCACAAAAAAATCGGATTTGGGTCACTTCAGGCTGCGGTGTGAACGTAACTTAAAAGGTTTCCACTTGAGGAGTTCTTTATAGAGCATATTAACAAACATTTAAAAAAAAAAAATCTTAAATGCTTTATTATTATTTTCTTTTTACAATTTTGATAAAATTCCTCCTCTAAGTAGTTTGCTCAGTCAGCTAAAGGCATATTTTACAGTCTCTATACTCCAGTTAACGATGAATCGATTACTAAATTAGTTGACGATCATTTCCATAAATTATTAATCACGATTTATCTGATTAATTGTTTCAACCCTAATCAGTGCAGGTCTGAGGGTTTGGCTAATACTTTCTTTAAATCATCCAAAGATTAAATAAAAACGTTTGAGCCTTGTAATGTTATGCTAACCCTTCATCCATATTATACACAGAGATATTTCACGATTATCAGTCAGGCCTTGAGATCAAATAATTCCGTTCCCTCCATTTGCTATCCATTGTTAACGTTTTATTCGGTTTGTTAATAAATATTTCAAGTTTTTATAAGTCACACTTCTGTTAACTATGTTATATTTGTGTTATTTTTAAATCACATAAATAGAGGAATAGAAAGTAATCTAAAAAGAAAAAAACACAGACAGCAGAAATTGAAACGATCACTTGGACAAACTTTTATTTCCAAACTTCTTATTAGAATCGTTGTCAGTTTATGCCTCGATACGTTGCTCTCGGTTCATAAAACTGTGCAGCCTTTGTGAGGAACAATGTGGGCGATATTTTATCGTGTGCGATATATCGTCAAAGAAATTCCCCACAATAACAATTTGAATTTATCGTTTTTATGATGAGATGACTATTTATCAGGTTGTGTTTGCAGTTGCACCACTTTGGTTTTTTTAATAAGCCAAGTTAGTTTTGCTGTTTGCATCATTTATTGGAATTTGGTCTCTAATATTTCAGACTTATTTAATTGGTATCACTACAGTTTTGCAGTACAGGTGCAGTACTTGAACTTAATTGATATAGTTTAGAGGTTTCTAGTATTTTGTAGGGCTTTCAAGAGAGAATTTAGTGACAGATTTATAATACAAAATATTTTGCTGGTAGTTTTTATCGTCGCTTATCGTTACAGTGATAAATAAGAGAAATTATCATCATACATTTTTTAGTCCATATCGCCCATCCCTAGTGGTCACACTATTTAGATGCATAGTGAACAGATAGATATAACACCAGTGCCTGCTGGGGGGGGGGGAGTTATTAACCAAATGAGCAAAGATCAAGTCCAGCTCTGACTCAGAGGTAAATAAAATCTGATGCAAATGTCTGTCACCATCATCCCTGGTTGGAAACCATTCAGCTTAGATAATGGTGCATCTCAAATTACATCTTGGTAGATTTTTGAGAGAAGAGGCAAAAAAAAGCAGTTTGTGTATTTATAGAGTAGATGAGAAATGTAAAAGTTATACCTAAAGACAAGGAAAGGGTAAATAAATCCTCCTTTTCTAATCAAAACCTTGTTTCAGTGATAAATGTCCACAGAGCAACAGGCATCCAGGAAGTCCACTCATATCTGATTTATTATCATAACTGCGGGCTTAGATTAGTCAGGATTTAAACTAAACATTAATGTATATTTTATCAAAATGTTGTGAAATTTAGAGACTTATTTTGCATTTATTCTCAGTAATGAAAGGAAGAACAAATATAAAGGTTGGGTCTGGTAAGATGTAGTCCTTACTGCACAGGGTTATAATATTGTCATATTACAATTTTACAGAAACAGAGGTTTCTTATGGTTTATAACATCTCACTAATTTACTTTATCAAACACTTTTTATACAAAAAAACAGATATTTTGTTCTGTGTAACAAAACCAAGAAATGTTAATGATTACAAAACCTTTTTGAACTTGAGAGTTTCTGATTTGTCCAAATCTTACAGACAAAAACTCAAAAGATATTTATAGAGTAGATGAACAATGTAAAAGTTATCTATAGAAAAAGAAAGTGTAAAATAAGTTTAATCAAAAACTTGTTTCAGTGATAAATGTCCACAGAGCAACAGGCATCCAGGAAGTCCACTCACATTTGATTTATTATCATAAATGATGGCTCAGATTATCCAGGTTTTATACTAAACATTACTATATATTTTATAAAAATGTTGTGATATTGAGAGACTTATTTTGCACACAAAAAAAAAATAATCTTTTTTTCATTTTTTATATAAATGGACCCAAAATCACATTTCTTACCTTTGAAAACTGTTTACACCCATCATATCGGTTTCTTTTTCAGTCCACGGAAGGAGAAAAAAAAATCAAGGCGAATATAATAAAATAATAAAACTCCAAATGCCTCCTTAATTTGACAGGAATAAACAATAAAGCAGCCAGAGGAGCAACAGGAAACGTAAGGCCTAGCATCCAGCTAGCAGGCTACTAGCTAACTGCAGCTACAAGGCACCGGCCGCATCACTCCTCCCACTGCTAAGGCTCCATTTGAGTCTTTTCCTCAACAACATTCTGCTGGAAACACCGAATCATCGCAGCAACTGTCAGCTGGAGGTATCCATAAGCACGGACGGACGAAAGGTGGAAACCTGAAACGCCCCGAAAGTAAGAAACCCGCCGGTTAACGGAAGCCGAACCCCCGCTTTGCCTCACCGGTACGGAGATTTGACTGGCAATGGCATTAGCCAATCAGGAGCAGCGCTACCGGCACGTAGGCCAATCAGGTCGGAGGTAGACGCCTACCTGGTAATGTCTAAACTCATAAATCATTAACAAATCTGACCCCAATTATCCAGTTCAAAGGTTTTACAATCCATAAATGTTCAATTAACAGGTTTACATAATGTTTAAAAAAAAAAAACAAGTTAATACTCAAACAAGTGAAAGTTATACATATGCTTCAATTATTTAATAAATAAAAAACTAAACTATTACCTGATTGAATACATGATTTAAAGTTTATTACTTGTATAATAGAGAATGGAATGCAAATATAATAAAGATTGAAAGAGTATAAATAGAATACTCTTTAGAATGTTAGTCTCAGTTATTTATCTGAAATATTTCCATATTGAATATATTTTTTTTAAAGTTTTTTTTAGTTGTATAAGATAATTTATAATTGTTTAAGAACCTCCTTATTCCCTATATAATTTTTTTAAGTAGTTTGCGATGACAAAATTTGATTTTATGAATTAATCAAATCCCATGTTGTTTAATCTAGACAACAAATTAGCTGTTAACCAATCAGCTCGCCCAAAATATTGTTCTTTAAATCCATGCTCTATACTGGAGAATCATTTTGGACGAGAGTATAAAGTAACATGTTTCCCAACCCTGACAGAAAGGTTATTCTTCTCCTAAATGACAATTAAGAAATGTTAGAAGGACTATTAGTTAAATAAAAAGACATTTATGTTTAAAAATGGGATGAAAAATATTTATACCTCTTTTATTAATGATAACAAATCCTATAAGTTGGGACTCTAGCTGCTCCAAAACTTATATGTGTTTTTTTTTATAATAATAATTTAACTTTATTGATTTCATATTGGAGAAATTGACCTCTGCCCCTCTGGGAGCAGAGGGCGGCCATTGTGGAGCACCCAGGGAGCAGTGTGCGGTTAAGGGTCTTGTTCAGAGACCCAGAGTGGCAGTCGGTATAGGCCGATACTGCACAGCCAAGTATCGGATATTGGGGCCAAAAATTGGCATCGGCACAACACTACTAACCACTAGGCCGCCACTCACCCATTATTGTATTATTGGTATATTATTACACATTATTGGGTGATTTGTGAAATTTACTTAAAGCTAAACTGCGTAAAAGAAATACTTAATCCTGAAATAAAACCCTAAAACAAATA